TGCACGGCTCTCATCAACTGAAGTTTTAACCGTGCACGAGGAGGATCTGAAGGAGAAGGATGGAGAACAGAGAATGTTCCTCTCTGCCTGGCCTCTGACGCTCTGTTCTGCATCCTGTCAACACTCTGGGAGCTCCACGGGGGCTCCTCTGAAGTCCTCTCTCCAACACACAGAGTGCATGTGCAGTTCACCACATTTGTCTCACCAACAGCATATCAAAGTGTTTCTGGTCCTGCAGACAAACAGGTGACCCGTTGAGCAGAACCACACGCTGCTGCCTCAGTCTCATGAAGACCTTCAGTCTTTCCACCAGTACTGACCTGTCTGTCTCTTTCTGTCTGCTCTTTGCTGGCTGCACATCCTCTGGATGTCTATCGTTGCTTCATCTGCCGTTTCATCTTCAGCCCAGGATCTTCTCCATGTCACCCATGTTTGATACGTTCTGTTTGTGGAAGTTGATGCTTTTTCCTGTCACTAGTGTTTTTAATGCAGCGGGGTTTTAGTGAAGCCAACACTGTTTTTAGATTTTAACTAAGAGCCAAAGCAGTGCACACTGTAGTCATGATGGCATGTTGGGTTAACGTCTTTTTGCTGTTGTTAATATTTCTTTCTGCCATTTCTCTCCCCAACGTGTTGCTCTCAGGTGAGAAAGGGTGGGTCTGTGGGTCCATTACAGTATGGAGGCCATCATGTCTCTGGGTCTACAGAAATGAGCAGATATAAGGTGAGCCCATACTGCTTTGTTCTACACCTGATGTTCAGTTCAATCGAGGAGTTTACTGAAACACAGCAGGCTTTTTCTTAGACGAGGGGTAGGGGGACATGATTAAAAACCAACTTTCATGACATTCTCTCGAGATAACTTTGCTCATTTTATGAAAAAGAGTTTAGCTCATTATTATAACCTCATTATCTCAAGGTTATGATACCCATTATCTTGAAATGAGTGATTTATCTTGATTTAATATTGAGAATAAAAACTTATTTTTCAAGAAAATGGGCAATTTTTAAAAAAGTTTTTCTTTTTGTCTACTGTCATGGAGCGAAGAGGGAGAATTAATACTGTTCATCTGTCAGTGTTGCATGATAACTTGAAAAATAAGCAACGTACCAACTTCCATTTTGGTATGTGGCTTCATGTGGTACCATACCATTTTATTTAAAGAGCACTTAAAACAGCGACATGGCCAACCAGTGGTATGCCACTATAGGGTTGCCAAGTCAAAATCCAAAATGGCCACCATTGTGTGTGTGTGTGTGTGTAACCTGAGCACCCTTATCATTGAGAAAACTATGCTTTTTATTTTTTATACTGCTTAAGAGTAGTTTCCTCACATAATAGTGCTGGTCGAAGATTCTCCACAATGTGTTGCATCATCAAGTATCTGGATCTCAAGCAAGCGAACCTTCGAGTACATAAAATTAGTGTTGTAGTTTAGTTTGCGCCAATAAAAAACAGCAAAAAGATGGTGTCCAAGAAGCATTGTTGCTACAGGATTTACATGAGAATAGTGACGGCTGATATGCTGTCCAGCCCCGTGCAAGTTATATGGTGGTTCAAGCTGTTTCCAAAGCCGAATGCTCGGGGAGAGAAAAGTGATCATTGCATTAGACTCTATGGCTGAGTTGGCTTTGACCAGACAAATGTAAACAAGAACATTTACATTTACCATACCATACCACTTTATTTATAGAGCACTTAAAACAGCGACAAGGCCAACCAAAGTGCTGTACAGACAAAACAACAGGTAACACACAAAGCAAAATACAAAATGAGGTAAATCAGAATTTAGACATAAAAACGATGCAGATAATGACGACAAACCAGTGTGGAGCATACAGGATCAAAACACAGATCATCTGGTGTTGAAAGCTACTGAATAGTAGTGAGTTTTTAAACGGGACTTTTGTTCGAAACACTTTGTTGGAGGGACCAGAGGCTGATAAAAATAGCTGAATCAGCACTGAAAAGGCCGGGATCTCCACGTTTTTTTTTTTTATCCATTCAGTGCAGTTGCCAGACATGGCTAGTCCTCTGCATTGTAGCCAGTGCTTGAGCTGTGCATTAATGTATCATTGGATACATTCCAAGTCAACTTTGGCCCCAGAGATGTTTTCGCTCATGTTGACATGGACAAAAGCACTGGAGGTGGCCACTGTTCATGACGTCTTGCGTATTGTTTGTCTGACATTTAAGACTTTTGAGGTTTCCCACAATACTCATGATGTCATCTCCAACAAGCACTCTTGGGGTGGCCAGAGATGAATCTATGATGGCCAAGTCTACCATTGGCTACCCCCTGACTCCACCCTTAGGCCTGGTGGTGGATAAAATTTCTCCCTTCTTTTGCCAGGATCCATCACTCTGTGCTACCTCTTATTAAAAACTAAAACTTCCCTCTGTTCTTCTCCGCAATGTAACTCCAACCCACTTAAATATGTTGCACCAAAACCATTAAAGTTTACTTGCATTCCCTGTTCCATTCCAGTACAGAAAAACACTCATCTCCAAAACTACAAACATTCACTAGTCTGTCCCTTAACGATGGGGACATCAGTGGACTGCTTGTTCAAAATAAGTTATCCAAATATAACAACAGCAATTTTCTCCAAATGGTCATTCATCTCATCTGGAGATTTTCTGCAGATAGAGGTTAAAGATGCATTTGATTTAGAAAAGCTCATTTAGTTGTGATTACAACAAAGAGCTACTTCTTTATCATAAATCAGTACATTCAGGCTGAAAAGTTTCATTATATTTCACAGAGCAGCATTTGTCCCTGATCCATTAATTCAGTATAACCTTATTGTCTATAACAGTCCATGAAATGGAGGCTTGTCTTTGACATCTGGCTCATACATACAACACAAAACAAATTACAAATTCCACAAAACTTTTCAAAAGCTTTGCTAACCCAATAAAAACATTCTAAAATATATGATACATTTAAAACATTAAAACATCCCAGCAGACAATGGTTTGTCATGTTACAGACACTCTTTTAAGACATTTTGTACTTTTGTCACTCTGTTAGTAGAACCACCAGTCTTCTGCCAGATGGCAGCAGCTTGATTAATGGTCGCAGTGGATGAGTTGGGTCATTGTAAACCTGTATTGCCTTTTTTCCAGAACTTGACTGTACAGGTCTGTAAGTTTCTTTTGTTGATGACCACTTATTTTACTGCCTAGTTTGTCCACTTGGGACAACTTGTTCCTGCCTCTGGCTAGGAGGTTCCCATACCATGAGATGTTATTAAAGGAAACAGCACTTTCACCCAGTGAGCTGTACACCACCTGCAGAGTGTTTGTTTGTGTTAAAGCTCCTCAGCTTGCATAGAAGATGGAGATGCTGTCTGTATTTCTGTAAACACATTCATTCATTCAACCTTTATTTACACAGATACGTCACATTGAGCCTCAAAGACTCATTTACAAGTGAGACCTGTTTAGACAGACAAAAAGTAATGAAAGTGACAAGTATAAGATTTGGAGGCCAAAAAAAATCCTATCAAACTCTCACTCCTTGGCCGAGGAGAGAGAGCCTGATATTGAAAAAACATCCTACACATAGGCACATAGTGACAGGGAGATGACAAGAGTGGTGATCGTGTCAGGGACACTCCAGAGGAGTGTAGGAGTTCTGATAAGAATGGTATAATCAGTCAGTTCCCTCTGGTAAGATCCATAAACACTCTCGAGGGGTGCCGACGTCGACCTAGGACAGCGCCAGAGAGAATCCAAGAGTCCTGAAATGATGACACAATTCAGCCAAGTCCCTCGGATAGGGCTGCAGACTTTCTTGGTGGGAGGGGGAAGAGCATAGAATTTACAGGGCCAACACTATATTTATATTTTAAGGCTTTATAAACCCTTCCCACACTCTTGCAATGTTCTAAACTCACTTGTTTTTCAAGTTATCATGTTCTCAACATGGACGGATGGACGGTATTTCTAATTTCTTCACTGTGACGGGACAACAGAGGCAGAAAATCAATCAGAAGATTCAACAAATAGTTTTCAGGAGGTGCACACATGCAAACAGCATATGACTTTTTATTTTACATATTTGACACCACAACAGAATATTTTAGTTGAGTCAATTGTTACATTTCACAGGGACGGTGGAAAAACTTTAGAAACTAGAACACACTAGAACTCAGCAAACCTTTATTAGTGCCATTTACCTAAATTTCCCACGCCTGAGGTACAGTGAATGCAGCACAACGTAGCGTTAAAGTCTTCTTTAATGATTTGTTCAAATGACCTTTCTAGAAGAACAATCCAAATATTATTTTATGTAAAGTTGTTTTTTGTTTTGTTTTTGTCTCCAGGTTTCTAAATCGGAAAAGCACGGCAGCGGCACGGACAGCGACTATGATAACACTCAGTTGTATGATCCGTCTCAAAGGTTAGAATCGTTAAAACACGTTTTTATTTCTTCACCTGAATAGAGTCTTACTCTTCATGTTGTGGAATGTTTAATTTTTGATTCAAGATGGCTGCCACAGGTACCTCTGCAAACACAGAATTTACTATAACTCCATCATTCTTTGAGATATTGAGCTGAAATTTAGTATGGTCATAGCTGAGAGCCAGTTATTGTACTTTCCTGGTGCAAATTCAATATCCAAGATGGCCGCCTTAGCTAAAAAAGGAAAAAATACAATAACAGCTTTTTTTTTAGATATTTAGCTGAAGTTTGGTGTGGTGGTAACTGATATCAATGCACAATAAATACTGAATTCAAATAAAAAATCCAAGATGGCCACCAAAGCTTAAAAGACAAACTGACTCCAACACACTGACTTGTTGCCGTATTGAGCTGACATTTGGTGCAGTGGTAGCTGAGAGTGAACCCCAACTCATTTTACTGTAAAATAACAATTTAAAAACGACCGCAACGTGGCAGTCCCTGTCAAAGTTGGCTCAAGGAACTTTCTAGTTGAAGTGTTGTCATCTAGTTGTGTGGTAAATGTACGGTATGTGTATATATACGTTTTAGTATCGGACGCAGCAGTGAGGAGGAAGGTCGGGGTGAGTCTGAGGAAGGAGGAGGTGGGGAGGCGGTGGAGCCGGACCCCACCCTGCCCTGCACGGAGGATGTCATCCTGAAGACGGAGCAGGTGACAAAGAACATTCAGGAGCTGCTCCGGGCTGCGCAGGAGTTCAAACACGACAGGTACAGGAAGTTAGTCCTTTACCAGCTTTAGCTCCGCCCCCTTTAGTTTGTACGTCTGTTATAAAAGGCTGCGGGCGATATGTTTGTAATGCTAGGCCTTTAGTTTATCTTTCTGCCAGTCCTGCTGCGTCACACAGAATACATGAAGCTTCCTGTTCTGTGGTTCTCCAGCTTTGTTCCGTGTTCTGAGAAGATCCACTCGGCGGTCTCTGAGATGGCGTCTCTCTTCCCCAGAGTAAGTTTCTCCTCACGTCTGTTTTTTAAAAAATTTTTATTCGTCTTCCTGTCCTCAGTCACGGTGTGCTCCATCTGTCTGCAGAGGCCGGCTCTGGACGCTGTCCACTGCTCTCTCCGCCTCCTGGCCTCCAGCGCTTCCAGGCTGCAGGTGGAGTGTCGTAAGGCGGTGCCCTCGGAGCCCGGGGCCCCCGCCGTGGACTACCAGCTGCTCACCCAGCAGGTCATCCAGTGCGCCTACGACATCGCCAAGGCAGCCAAGCAGCTGGTCACCATCACTACCCGCGAGAAAAAACAGTGACCGGACGCACACAGGAGGAAAGGATCGGGGGGGGGGCTTTGAGGGACAGGGGTGGGGGACGTTGGGGACAGCTGGAAGTGGACATGCTTGAGTGTGGAAGGACATGTTAGATTTACTGCTGAACCTGATGGAGACATACGAGGAGCCGGATCATGAAATGTTACAGAGTTTTATTTATTTCACTCCTGTCCCATGCCTCCTCTCCCCTCCCCAAGCAAGTGGATGCCTTGGACCCCCCTCCCCCAAAAATCCGCCATCCTGAGGGTCAGGATGCTCCTGCTCTTCTTCAGCCTGAAACACTGTCCCCTCCGTCCTCGACATGTCCCGGCCAGGATGAGCTCGCTGTGCAGAGCAGGACCCCCCCCACACTCAACCACACCCCGCCAAGGCCGTCACAGAGGAGGGGCTTCAGCTTTAAGGCCCCCCCTGTTGTCGGTGGTACAGCATGATCCGGCATGTTTGTTTTTTTAGTTTTTACTGCAGATCAGTTTGATCTGCATCTCTGAGGACAACAATGAGTTTAACTTTATTTACTGACTTTAAAAACACGTACACTGGAATAATTGTGCTTTATTGTCATCGTTTATCATCCTGTTCATTCATTCAGTTGTTCTAATGATCTTACTGCCTGTCCTTTTCATTTAACTCTTTACATGTTTGTTTTATCGTAACGGAGCGGAGACGCCCGCTGGGACGTACGTGCGCGCTCGCACGTGCGCGCTCGTCCAGCAGAACCCTGTGAAACGGTCCCGGGCATTTCTCACGTGAGCGTTTAGTTTCCTTCCTCTTCTTTCTTGCAGCCAAGTTGCCAAAGCAGAGCGCGTGTTGGGAGACGCTTCATTCTCTGGAAGAGCGGAGGCCCATCTGCGGGTCAAAATGCGATTTTCGTGTATTCTCATCTGTCTTTTTGTGTTTATGTTCTTTTATATATATATATATATATATATATATATATATTTCTGCCTCATTTAAGACAGTGGAGTCATCTCAGAATCTGTAACTGGGCCGGGCGTGACGGCAGTATTAGGCATTTGTTTGCATGCGTGTTACGAAACGATGAAACGCTGGATGTTGCAGCTACGCCTTAAGTCGACCTGTGGAAAGCTGGAAAGCATTATTTCTTCTGGGAGAAAACATGCATGTACTTGATTTAATTTAAATTGTAATTGTTTTAGAACTGTCTGGCGAGCACAATCGGACACGTGAGCGGTTCTCTGCTGAGCTGCAGGTGCAACTCCTCGCTCTTGTCTCTGAATTCTGCCGACAGGAAACGGCTTTGGGAACAAATGTTTTAGTGTTTTTAATTTTTCTCTCCAAAATCAAGGCAGTACTTCTCCTACTGAACAATAAGGTCGTGTGTGCGAGGATGCTCGTTGCAGGCGAACCCTGCTCCTCTACGTCAGTGTTTCCTCTGAGCTGCTCCTGTTTCATCAGCGTGTTCAGGTGAGCGTGTTCCTCCGGAGGATGTGATCAAACTGCACTGCTCAGCATGTCTGGGTCACCTTTTGTTTCTGTTCTTCAGTCGCTCAGTTGAATTGTAAAAGTGTAACTTTGCGTTGAGCTCATCAGATTGTTTGATCCTGAATGCCTTTGCACATCGTCGCCGTCATCTCGTTTGGCTGATCTATAATAAATTTGATGGACACTAACGAGGAGCAGGTAGAGGAACGTGCTCCTCCAATCATAAAAGCCCGTGTTTTAGACTAGAGCCATATATATAGATCTCTATTTTCATGCTGTATTTTCTATTAAGCTACATGTTGGGTTGTCGGCTCACCTGGTGTACTTTAGTTTTTAGGGTTGTGTCGTGGTGATGCCCTCCTCTGGACTCAGACTGCGTATTCTCCACCTACAGGAAGTGAACCACAGACGGAGCTTGTAGCGAACAGCGTGGTCTTAGTTGCACTATTTCCAAACACCAGCTGGTTGAAGTAGGATCTACGTCATGTACCGCACACTCCCTGAAGTCTTAGTTCAAGTACGTTAGGTTCTGTTCAGGACGGGCTGAAAGTTCTGGAGCGCACCTCTGGGCTCGGCGCTCCAGTCATGTCCAAACGGCAGGACCAGGGTCCTTCCCTGGATCGACACTACGAAGGGTGCCTCTAGTGTGAATGTTAAATGCTTCCGTCAACTTTCGTCACTTTCTATACTACTGTGTACATAATTCAGGATGTTATGCTAACACCGGACACACCCAGAACCATGATTTGGACCAATCCGTGCACAAACGCAGACACTGCAGCCAAAACCCCACACTTTTTCTTTGCAGCGGAGCACCGTGGCCTCATGTTCCTTCACAGCTCTGCGCTCAGAGATGGCTGATGGGAGGATTGTCTTTTAACAGAAAATAATAAACTGTACAAAGTAGAAACAAAATGACTTAACACAAAAAGGTCAGTTGTAATGGAAACTCGTAAGCTGTACATTTGTAATAAAATTAAACAATTTAATTGTCCTTCCTAATGTGTTTTTTTTTTCTTCTCAACATATTCAGGAAGACTCTGAGAATTCAACATCTGAACCTTTTATTTCTACAACTGCACACTTCTGATGCAACAAGATCCTTTAAATGATCGGGTGTGATGATATTTAACGATCTCGAGTTTAAAACAATTTGTTCCCTGTCGGGGAGCAAAACGGGAACTGGAATTACCCTCTGTCCATCCGTGTGTGTTGTGAGCACGATATGTTGAAAAATAAGTCGGGTATCGACTTCCATGTAGGTGTGAGGCTGCATGTAGGTGTAAGAAGGTTCCTTTCAAAAAGGGTTGCCAGTTCAAAATCCAAAATGGCTACTACCATATTTATTTGTAAACTGACCCATATCATTTGAGAAAACTACATTTCCTAGTTATGTTGTTTAAAAGTACAGTAGTTCCTCGCTACTTGCGGTTCGTTTGTCGCAGATTTGCTCATCAGTTTTTCAAAATAAGATTGGACGTGACACACAATTGGATGATTGATGGATGAGCCGCACGATCAGCGTGTAATTTTTATTTTAAATGAATTATTTTAAATTATTTAGCATCTGCTGCACATTTGTGCAGTCCAGAACTGCAGACAAAGCTTCATTCTGCAGGATCAACTTCCTCCTGCAGTTAAACAGCGGATTGGCTGATCTGTGTGCAGAGCAGAGAAGTGGGCGTGGCCAAGAGCGCTCGCAAGTGGCTGAGATGCGGAGGCAGAGAGAGGGAAATCATGACATTCTGTGCTCTTTTAGTGTTTAGAGTTTAGAAACATTGTTTAGAATATTGCAAGTCAGAGTCAGAGTTTCTTTATTGTCATTCGCACCTCATGTGGTACATGTGGTGGAGCGAAATTATGTACACAGGGTCCCAGTTACATCCAACAATAAAATGTAAAAGAAAAACAGTAAT